AGGCTAAATCCCAATGCAAAGGATTGGAAGCCACGAACCAATGGAATCACTCCAAAGACCCGATTTGACATATCTAAGTGGGAGGAAATCACATCCTATTACTAGACAAATATTGAGAGTGAATAATAAAGAAATTTTATTTGATTCACTCTATTCTATTACAATTATAGACAATGACCTTATATAGAGGTTTTTGAGGAAAATAAAAGGCAACAAATAATAAATGAAATAAACAAAATGTAAGTCTAACTTATAAGGAAACAAATAATAAGGAAAATTCTAGATATGAAATTACACTATATAGAAATTTATAATAAAAGGTAATATATAATAACTTTGAGTTTCTTCCATAATTATTTGTTATCTTATTCTTGAAGTCCCGACTCTTGTGATCCTTGCCTTAGGATGACTCGATTGGGTGACCTTTGAGTCAGATAAAAAGGAATTTTAATGTCTAGTACATTCATCTCCAATAATCATTTTTCTGAGCTTGGACGGCCGCGTCAAAAGGAACCTAGAGTCTGATACCAGTTGTTTGGAAATATCGAGGAGAATCAATAAAAGGCAAACAAGAACATAATAGTTTGGTTATCCAGTTCGATCAGAATGATCTATGTTTAGGGCTGCTGTCAAACCAAGAAGTTTACTATAAAATAGAATACACATAGCACTAGTGAAAATGAAAATACATAAATATTTATAGGTTAAATCTATACCAATAATATCTAAATTATATCCCTAGAATTTAGGCTTCATATCCCTAAGATTTAGGCTTCACATCCCAACCATTTTTGGTAAAAGAAACAAACCTGAACTGGTGTGGTATATCGATCTCTCTCTCTCTCTCTCTCTCTATATATATATATATATATGAGGTAGTCTATAATATATCTATCTGTATAATTTGGGATGAGGAATCTGGTCTAGTGTGGCTCAAGTGTGTGTATGTTGTGTAGTGTACGTATCTTTTAATTCAAAAGCAAAAGCAAAAGCAAAAAGCAACTGAAACAAGAAAATGATCCACGAAATATCTCTCTTCTTTGTATAATTTGATTTCATTTCAGGAGGCAACCCCATGAAGACTTTATACTTATATATATATATATGCATACATATCTCGAACGCTCTTGCGTATTATTTACTATATAGTTCATCATAGTATATATTAACCACCCAAACAAGCATTATTTTTATTTTATAACGGCAGTAGAATCGAACCCGATATATATATATATATATATGTATAGCAGCACTTGCTGAATAATATTGCACCACCAATCTGTCTTTACTCACTCTTGTTGTTTTTCTCCCCCTCTATATCTCTATCTATCTACTGTCTGTCTATCTTAATATAATTAATTAATTAATAGATTTCTTTTATGCCGCCTTAACACAGTAAGTAGATAGATCTATCGATTATTTTCTATGAAAATCATCCCACATAATTTATTTATTTATTTATTTTTAAAATATAATTATATATTTTAATTATATTTTAAATTTTATAATTTTTTTATTTTAATCAAATTATTTAATTATTTTAATTTTAATCTATAAGTATTTTTACTTATATACTTTTTAATTACTTATTAATTATATATTTTTTTTTTATCTACAATAGGTGGGTATTACATGAGCAGAAGAGAGTATTATTAATGCATATCATATCTTACAAAACAGTAATCATCAAATTATTAATTATTTATATATTAGTAAAAATAACAAAGATGCCAAGATTCCACACGCACACACCAATAAGATGCACTGCACTAACTACACTGCACACTATGCACAGCTAGCCAAGCAAGGAGTCTAATTAATTAATTCATCCAATCCAACAATGACTAATAATTATATACGATCGATCGAGATATATATGCACTGCACCCCACCTCCACCCCCACCCCCACCCCGGCCCCGGCCCCTCCTCTCTTTATTTCGTTTTCATCAAATTACTTGTCCGATCGAATCTAAAAGACTTTTCAGCTGCAACATACATTTTAATGTTATAAATACAGACAAGTCTGATCAGGTGGGGTGGGCTCGATCTGCAATGCAATTGCAAGCTACCTAAGGAATTAATCAAACACCCAGCCACCCCTCTCACTCACTCGTGGTTATCGTGTCGTACGTGTGTTACGTTAGTTGTTTATAGTAATAATTGTCAGAATTAATGATGGAGCTACAGCAGCAGCAGCAGCAGCAGGGGCAGGGCGGCAGCAGCCGCAACATTAATAAGCGGAAGAACAGCTTTTCCAGGTCGTCAAAATTACTCATGAGTGCTCTGTACAAAGGACAAGGACTAGGGAAGCACAGTAGCCACGGCCTCCACAACGTCGTCAAGCCTGCTGCTGCACCTAATTCGGCTTCCAAGGCTGCTGCTGCAGTAAATGCAAATGCTAAACCTGGGTTCATTATCGTGAACCAGGCGGATCATCATCATCACCAGCATCAGACAACGCCCGCGCCCAAATTAGCGTTCCTGCTGCCTGACAGAATTAGTACCACTCGCTGCTGCTATGACTACGAGGATGATGAGGCCGTCGATGCGAAAGCAGCCAGCTATATAACTGCTGTACAAGAAAGGTTTCGATCCCATACCTAATTCACCTACCTACTTACATCTCTACCTATCTACCCACCTAATCTACAATAAACATATATCTTCTATATATATAGAGTTAATTTAACAAGTGCATGCATGGGTCAATTAATTATTACAAGTCGGAGCTAGGGCAGTATATAGAATATGAGCATCTCTCCGGACAAGTTATTGTTATCACTACTGCTACATACATATATACATACACATATAGTATTTGATACCTCCATTCATTTAGCCTCACCACTGCGAGTACTGCTATATATGCTATATACCTCACATGATCCATCTGCCTCTGCAATCGACGTTCGATAATATATATATAATTAATTATCATCCACGCTATTTTCCTATCTATTTATCTATTTGTCTTGATTATCATATCCCGGCAAGAAGGATAACAAACGATATAAAGTGTTGAAAACTGACAGTATTTTAGAATTAAAATAGAGCAAAAATCAAAAGCAAGCCTTTCAATTAAACAACCATTTTTCATATTTAATCCCCCCCAAAAAACATCAAACTAGTTTCATAAAAGAATTTGTTCATCACTTTTGATTCCATCATCAAATTTCAACCGAATATAATTACATAGCTATAATGGAAGCTGAAGTAACGTATTAGATCAAACACGATCGAACATGTAATGTTCCAACAATCAGCAGGTCAAACATTGACCTGTTTATATCCACAACGACTGAACTACCGGGGGCTTGGGGCAGCTACCCCAGCCCCTAAAATATTTCTTTTTTTAAGTATAAAAAAATAATAAAATCATGTCTTTGTCATTGTTACCGTGAGTCGAAAATGTACAATCAAATGTTAATTAAAAGGCTTCTTTTGAAAGATTTAGAGTGGTTAAATCCTAAATTCACAACAAGTGTAGTGATCATATACTCTCCTCCGTTCACTTAGAAAATATACATATTTCTATTTTGGGATGTCCAATTACAAAGTAACCATTTCATTAAATATCCCATTTTTTCACAAATACCCCTACTTTATTTCACATCATTACTTTTATACCAAAAAAGTAAGGGCAAAAATATCATTTTACTACTTTTACCTACCCATCCGCGCCAAAAGTAATGGTATACGTTTAGCTTGGACGGAGGGAGTATTTGATAGTAAAAGAAATTAAGAAAGAAAAAAGAGAAATATGAAAAATAAATTACATGAATAAAAATATAAAATTTGTATTGAAATGAAAGATTTGAGTTTACAATAAATACAATTAGCTTATTTATAAATTGTAATCGGTGTCTTCTTAATCGACACAACATTTTCTAATCAACTAATAACATGAAAGAATACAACCCTTTGGTAAAATAAAATAAAATAAATGTAAGAAAATTATTTTATTTTCTATTCTAATCATATCTAAATTTGAAAATATCTAAAATTCTTAAAATAGAATCTTGATTAATATCCTCGTAACAAATCCAAGACATTTTTTTAAATACTTTTAGATTTATCTATTGGCAATCAATTCAATGTTTTAATTCTAACCAATTTGGATCCCAACCAAGTTAATTGCATAATTTCAGATTTTATTTTTGGGACCATTTGACAAAAGGGCTCTAGAAACTTAAAATTTCATACCTGAAAAGACTTGTTTCAGATCCACCACATGATTTTGTTTTTGACCATGGGATTATGGTCAAGTGATTTCTTGACGTGACTTCAATTTCGTACATAGAAATCCAGACATCAACCTAGGATATAAAATTAAAAGTATTCTCCAACCGTTGATACTTGTTCTAAATTGCTACCAACATATTAGTTTTTAGTTATTGGAGTTGGCCTCATCTTGGGATGGGCATATACTTTAATTAATTCACTACAGAAAAAAAAGGGAGCTTTTATTATGGGACGAAGATTCGTAACAATATGGTCGTAATAAAAATTGGTTTTTGTTATGACTTTTATCGTGACAAAAGTAATTTTTATTAGTTAACGTCTTTTTTTAGTTATTACAATAAATGTTTCGTAACAATTACAAATATGAAAAAAAAATATCGTAAATACAATAATTACGACTTTATTCTGAAACAAATGGAAATGTATTTTTATAATTTTTTAATAAATAATTAAAAATTTAAAAAATAATCAAACTTCAAATATTGAAAATGATTTTTAACAAATTGAATGTAAAATAAATATAAATAAAAATTTATTATTAATTAATTATATATATAAAATTTATTACAAATAAGTAAAAACATATTGCACTTCCTACCGGCCGCCCTCCCCCTCTATTGAAAATGTATTTTTAACAAATTGAATGTAAAATAAATATAAATAAAGATTTACTATTAATTAATTATATTTATAAAATTTACTAAGAATAAAATATATATAATAAATATCTAAATCGTAAACCCTACCCACACCCGCCGCCCTCCCCCTTTCTTCTCCAACGCATCTTCATTCTTTCTTCGACCTTTTCTTTTCTCTTCTTCTAACTTGCTCAGCCGCCGCCGCCCCTGTAGGTTAAAAATCGATAATGTGATAACATTTTTCTCAGATCTGTTTTTAAATTTATTTTTCTTCCGTTTGCAGTTTCATCTGCCTTGGTCGCTGGTCGATTTCTCCCCGCCGCAGCATTCCGTTGAAGTGAGGGCTTTTGGAACACGTCTCCAGCTTCGACCCATCAGGTAGGTGGTTTCTCTGGCTTCTCCCTTCTCTTATTTCTTCTTGCCCTGCTTTCCTTCCTCACCATGCCCTCGTGAGTGATTTTTGTTTATTCTATTTTGCGTTTCCATTCCATTTGTTCATTGCTTGTTGTTGGGGTTGGTTGTTCAGCCACAACAACCAATGGACGATAAGTTTGAAAGATTTGTAGTATTTTACATTATAGAATGTCCTCTAAGTTTGATTTTGAAGCTCCTTCTGTTAGATTTAAAATATGCTTTTGTATATTTTTACACGCTGAGTCATATATTTGAAAGTCTGATGTTTTTGTTAAAAGCAAACTCTGGTATTGCGTGATCCACCATGTTGGTGATGTGTTTGTAACACAATTACTGAAAATTCATTTAGCCAGCAAAGTGCAGCACCTTTGAATTTTTTACATTGTTAATTGTAATTGTATACAATTGTGCCAAGTGAATTTATTGATTAAGTTAAGTGTGATGTTTTGTACTGTTTGGTTTAGGGAATTTGGGCATCCTACACTATGATAAATATATGCGAAATTCCAATGGTGTATGGTTCTTTTTCAACTTTCATGAAGATATGACGGCTTCTCTATTTGTGTAATTCTCTTGCATTTCAGTCATCTATAAGGCTGTTTTTTGGAATATATGGGAAAGGGTGCTTGTGTTGTGGATTTTTTGGATTTGAAATTTTTCGAATCGAAAAAAGTTTTTTGGATATTATATTTTGAATAGAAAATAGGTGTCGGATGTGATAATTAAATAAAGGGAAGATGATTATTTTAGTATAGATTATATGATGCAACAAGATTTTTTTTTAAAAAAAAACCAAAGTGCACACACAAGCAAAGTTAACAAATACAGTATATGATTTGATGGTTTTGTGAATTTTATTTATTTATTTATTGGTATACCCTCCTAAAACTTTTACTCATTTTATCTTTTCATCCTGCAATAATTGCAATGAAGTACAAAAATGATCTAGCAACACTATCCAATATAGAGTGCTTCTTTCCAAAACAACTTTGAATCATGATATTATGTGTGGATATTTAAGTAAGTTTCATTGGATTCTACATCATAATATATACGGATTCAGATGCATATATACGGTGAACTATATACTTTTAAATTGCTCTTGTGAATATTGTAGGTGACACACTTTTCCTGGTCAAGGTATTCGTTACATCCGCCGCAGTCCCGGACACACTCCTTATTTTGCCGACAATTGCTAGGGCGACTACCTTTCGCGAGGTGGTCGGTGAAGATCCTATTGAGTGGAACTATAAGGATGTATGGATCTACTTTCACAACTTTCACGTATGGCTTCCAAAATTAAAATAATTATTACGTAAACTAAACCTTATTTTGTTCGTAATTGCAGCTCATGCACCACCCCTGAAGCATATCGATCGGTTCCTTTATGTTTTGCCTCTGTTTGCATTATCAATTGCATGTCGTGGATGTGCTTGGATGGTAGGTTCTTATGGCTATGTGAAATACCTATGGAATAGATGGATAGAAATTTGGATGTATCTTTTGTGTGGTAAGAATTGTTGCTATGGATTGATGGATCTCCCCACTTGCTTATTACTAGGTTGGATGTTTGAAATGCTTGTGTTTGACGGAACATAATGTCAAAGTGGAGATGTTGCTAGCCTTGTTCGATTGGTTAATTTACTTTGTTGTTTGTTGGAGGACATCGACTAGTAAATACTGTTATGTTAATATCCTATGTTGGGATTTCCTTAATAGTGTTTATTGTTTGCAAGTATGGACGATCGTAATATTTATAGCATGGTTGTATAAGAAAGATCACAACAGGTTAATTTGTTACTCTCAAATTCAACTGTTCCACAACTACTCGTTTTTATGAGACGCTATTTTTTCGTAACAAAAAGGAGAAATGACGTAACAAAATGTTTTTTTTGGTGTTTGTTGTTACGACTAGTTATGTGACCATAAGAATTGATATTTTTGTTAAGGGTTCAATGACGTAACAAAAAAATAAATGAAGTAACAAAAAATTGAAATGTTGTAACGAAAAGTTGTTTTTTGACGTAACAAATATGAAGGGATATTTTTGTTACGACCGGTTTCGTGACCATAAGAGAATATATTGTTAATTACGGCTTCAATAACGTAACAAAAAATCGTAACAAAAAGCGTACTCATAGTAAAATGTTTTGGTAACGCGAGACATTGTTGTAACAAATATCGTGACTAAAAGACCTGGCACACGCGTGGAAAGCTCGACTTTTTATTACGAGGAAAAATTTGTAACAAATATCGTAACAAAAAACTTGCCATAAGGATCGTTGACCAAGAATAGTAGTTACGAAAATGTGCGTGGCAAAAAAGATTCGTTACGCGAGTACACATTATGGATAAAAGTCGTCACTAAGGCGTAGCAAATACGCAAATTGCACGAAAATTGGCTTTTTGTTATGAATTTCCGGCTGTAGCAGAAAACTATTTTTTTGGTAGTGTACTAGTAGAGTCAAGAATCTGATTTAAATGAACAAGTATGATCACATATTTTAGTTTTTCCATTTTGTATTATACATATATGTTCCAGTATTTCATCATCATTATCCACTCATTTAATCGAGAATTTTTTTAGCCATTAAGAAACACACAGGTCACTCACACCCACCATAGTTTACTCTTACATCAAATACAATGCTGCTCATCTCTATTTTCACTAATAATCACCACTCCGCTCACTTCATCATTATAAGTATAACGCTCACGAATAGCTTTTCTGATCCGCTTGCCTTATCCTTAGTGCACTCACCGTTTGCCAATCTTCACCCCGTTCTCGTTCAGCGCTATGCTCGTCTTTACTACTTTATTTTACTTATTGGTCTGTTCGCTCACAAGCGAGCATCTCACTACTTTCCCATTTTCCAGACTCACCTGTAAGTATTTTTTTTCAAATTTAGTTTTATGACTTGAATTCCTGAGTTCGATGTGAAAACTCACTAGTATAAATGAGTGCAAATGTAATTTCGATAGGAAAGTTAGGGTATACAACAATAATTTTTTATTAATTCAATATATGATCATCTACAATATGCCAAGATCAATTCCCATTTAATTCATCATAAAAACCCTAATTTTTTTCCTAATAAAAATTTGGCGCAATTGTCGGGGATTTTAACCTCAAGAAATCTAGTCTTAGAAATACTTGAGTTATGTGCCATAATTTAATACTCCCTCCGTTCCAATTCAAATTATCATTTTTACCATTTTTGTTTGTAATACTCAAAAGTATAAATTTTCTAGAGTAAAAATCATTATTAGTCCCATGCAGATCCAATTTTTTCATTTTTGGTCTTATAAAAAAAATTATCAAAACTAGTCTCACCCAAAAAAGTTACTTATCATTTCTAGTCCCACCGTTCAAATTTTGACTGTCCCGGCTGACGTGGCTGTTACGGATGCTGACTTGGAAGCTGACTCGGACACAACACGCTCGTGTTGCACAAAACACGCCCGTGTTTATAATACACCCCATTGGACCGAATTTGAGACTCTAACACGGGCGTGTTATATGGAACACGACCGTGTTTGAGGTTGCAGTGGTTCAGGACAGTGTCCAAAAGACGGGCGTGTTCAAATAACACACACCCGTGTTTGAAGCTACATACCATGACTTCAGTGGCCGTGTTTATGTTTTATTGACCATGTTTCGGTTTCATTGATCGTATTGTTATGTTTTAAGTGACATATTTATTATCTTTATTAATATATATTTTTAATCACCACAACATATTAAAAAATAATAATAAACTAATAATATATTATATTTAGTTAAAAAGTCAATTTACATAATATAAACCTAAGAACAAAACAATCGGAAACTACATAATACATATTCAATCCGAGTGTTCCTCATCCATCAAATCATCACCCTTCCCTCCCGCCGTATTGTCCTCTTCTGGGGTAGGTGCATGTGAAGGCCGGGGCGGCGGGTATAAAGACCCGCAAAAGATGCTCTCATCTCCTCATTCATATTTTGGAATTGGCGATACATCTCACCACGCAACTGATCAATGGAAGACTCCTCATTGAACCTATGCTGCACCCGGCGACGAGCCTGAGGATGCACGGCCTCTCGATCAATCTCTCACTGAACCTCATCGCCCTGAGCATTATCATCCCCATCCATCTCTTGACCAACCCTATCAACCAACACAAACTGCTCTCGCCCACTCTGTGTCCTAATTTTTGTAATCATACCCATAGACTGTAGGGTATGGAAACCACATGGCATCATAAGACAACAAGGCTCCTCCATCCCTTCATTAAATACTTGAAGGCCTTTCGCCAATCGAGTCACATAAGACCCAATAGCAATGCCTCCAAGACGTTTATCCTCAACTTGATGAATAAGAAACCGTGCAAGCATAAATCCTATATTTACAGGTATACGTGCATGCATACTCCAAAGATAACATAAATCATGCGAAGATACTACCCCCATACTCTCTCTACGACCATACAACGTATGGGCTATAATATAATGAATATATCACAGAGATGCATACCGGAGAGTCGATGCCTTCGACCGTGTAGGATTATGAAATTTTTCCATGCTAATATGCGACCAAAAGTGATGAGCATTTTCCGGTATCGAAATGGGCAAGTTCTTAAACTCCGGCGTATCCACGAACGCCCTATCATACAAACCCATAATTACACCAAAATCAGATAGGGAAACCAAAAACATCTTGCCTCTTAGTCGAAAAGTCAAATTCTTCAGTTTTTCGTAATGGTAATTAATAGAGTCGTGTGACAACGTTGTCATAAACTCCAATCTCAAACTCTTATATGTTGGCTTAATAATTTGGAGGAAATTACGCCATGCCCCAACCGAAACAAGCTCCTCTACTTCCCCTTCTATGCCCAATGTCTCCAATACTTTGCTATCAATATGCTTACTCGTCAAAAAAACTTTATTTTTTAACCGCTCATATCGCTCTATGAGCTCTTGTTCTTGAAAATTCAAAAACCGACCACTTAAATCTGTATTCTCCCTCGATGAACCAACATCGGTCGATACTCCCTTGCCGCTCCGTTGTTTTCCTTGTTAAGGTGCCATTCCTTATAGTTAAAAAGCACAAAGCATTATAACATAACATTGTTCGAAAAATCCAACAAAACCTTAATAAACACAACACCAAAAATAAAATATTATATGACATTGTTCGAAAGATCCAACAAACCATACCAAGAACAAAATACTATACCACACATTAAGGAAAAAATAAAAATGCAACACCAAGAACAAACCATTATACTACATTGTTAAAAAAAATCCAACAATAAGTAGTTCAAAATTGGAAAAAATTAATATAATTTTCAAATCCAAATGTATACCATAATGTGAGAGATAAAACAAGTAAAAACATTGTATCAACAACAATCTACTTGAAAAAATAATAATAAAAAAAACCTTTTTCCCGAATCTTTAAAATCAACGCAAGGAAACAACCCAAATCATCCGCCCCCGAACTCGTCGTCTGTCGTCGCCGCCCTCGTCGTCTTTCGCCGCCCCTCTCGTCGTCTGTCGCCGCCACAGTCGCCGTCGTCCAGGATGTGTAGGTCGAACATGGGAGATTTGTATATATTGTCTCCCGTGTTTGACTGATCCGGGTTTTTAAAAAACCTAACCCGCCTCGAACACGGGCGTGTTCCAATATCACACGCCCGTGTTTGCTTTACAATGAATTATCTTTAATGAACTGAACATGGCTGTGTATCAAACACACACGGCCGTGTACCCGAACATGGCCAGGAACATGGCCGTGTACAACCCCCCTGGACTATTCTGTTTCCACAACACGCTCGTGTGCGTACGTACACAGGCGTGTTTCTTGTACACGAGGTAAATGTGTAAAACAGGGATAACACGGCCGTGTTGTGTTGCACGGTCAAATAAATGGGGCGTGTCAACCCCTGGGTTATATTCTGTTTTTTTAACACGGCCGTGTTTTATGCCACACGGCCGTGTTTGATTACACGGCCACTGACATGGCCGTGTCTGACCCCTGGGTTCTATTCTGTTTTTAGAACACGGCCGTGTGGAAATCGACACGGCCGTGTTAAAGTAAACGGCCACAGACATGGCCGTGTCTGAGCCCTCTGTTCTACTATATTTTCGGAACACGGCCGTGTGTAAATCGACACGGCCGTGTTAAAGTAAATGGCCACAGACATGGCTGTGTTTGAGCCCTATGTTCTACTCTGTGTTTGGAACACGGCCGTGTTCTATGTCCACTGAGTAATACTTTGTGATTCAACACGCCCGTGTTTGTGATTTTTGCAATCGAAATGCATGCGTACATGGCCGTGTTGTGTGTTACACGCCCGTGTTTAACCCTAAATTTTGGCTAAAACCATTGTTAAAATTAACGCATCCAAACACAACACCTACACACAAAAACAATACCAACTAAATAACTCAAATTCATCCATACGTCAAACCCACAACAAACATAAGTCAAATTCATACACAATAAGAGATGACAAATAACATAAACTAATCCAAATACAGTAACATAAGCCAAATTCACAGAGAGTAACACAAATCAACTCCGCAAACATGCCCCAAATTCATATTTTCTCTCAATGTGTCCCACTCGATGTTTCGCCTTCAGTTGTTGCTCCCTTTCCAAAAGTTCTTTTTCTCACCTATTTTATACAAACGGAAAGAGTTTATTGTAATAAAAAAATCAATATATGTACCAATATATCAAC